TATCTATCTATCTATCTATCTATCTATCTATCTATCTATCTATCTATATAAAAGCGAAATACCACTCATGCATCATAACAAAATCTCCAGAACCTTAAAGCCTACAAAATTTGAAATTTGGCACCAAGTTCCTCTTGGCTTCTAGGTGCTCACTAAGAAAGGATTTTTCGAAATGACCATCAGAGCATTAATATTTCTTATATTATTATTATTATTAACACACTCTGATGCTAAGGAGTTCTACTCCCCCTCCCCACCTGAAAAGAAATCTCTTCCAAATGTAAAACACAAGCAGAGGAGAGGAGTTTCAGTTTCACAGCACCAAGCAGCTTTAGGACAGAACAGTTGAGCTAAGCCACGCCCAAGCTCCTTGCTGTCTCCTTACTCACGCAGCAAATACTGTTTCACTTTCCAAACAGCCCTCAACTCTCTCACACACTGACAGGACGCTAGCCAGATGAATACCGATGGATGCTGGTAGGCAGAGGCAGAATTCCCCTCCCCTTATTTTCCTCCCCAAAAACTAAGCCCGAGCACATAGTTTCGTAGCGAAGCTAGTCTATTCATAAAGATGTAACACGGTGTTTCTCAATTTCTGCTACTTTAAGACAGGGGGATTTCAAGTCCCAGAATTCCCCAGCCAGCAGTTGAAATCCAGACATTTTTAAAATGATTGAGACAGCCTCTAGGTCTAGGATATCCTCAAAACTATCAGCAGCCTACAAAACAGACAATTGTGTAACTGGGGGAGTCTTCGGAGAGAATAATAGTTCATCGGAAACAACAACGTCACAAGTTGATATTTTAACTGGAGAACACTTTGTATTTTCTGCTGAATGTCACTCCACCTGCGTCTTGCGACATCTTTCCGAAGTGGCACTCTTAAGGCTGCCAAGTTTAATCAGTAAAAAAGTTGGAATTTGAAGCATGCCATTGATCCAAAAAGTACTCGGACTAATTAAGCAGCAGGAGCTGTATCTAATCAGCCAAGGAACTGACTTAACTTCCATGCTGAGGTCTATTAAACAGATAGATTAACAGAGTTGGAAGGAACCTTGTAGGTCATCTAGTCCAAACCCCTGCCCAAGCAAGAGACCATTTCTGACAGATGGCAGCCCAGTCTCTTCCTGAAAGCCTCCAGGGATGAAGCTCCCACAACTTCTGAAGGCAACTTCTGTTCAATTGATCGATTATTCTCACTGTCAGAAAGTTTCTCCTTATTTCCAGGTTGAATCTCTCCTTGATCAGTTTCCATCCATTATTCCTTGTCTGGCCTTCGGGTGCTTTGGAAAATAGCTTGACCTCTTCCTCCTCTCTGTGGCAGCCCCTCAAATATTGGAAGGCTGCTCTCCTGTCTCCCCTGGTCCTTCTCTTCCCTAGACTAGCCAGACCCAGTTCCTGTAACCGTTCTTCATATGTTTAAGTCTCCAGTCCCCTAATCATCCTGGTTGCTCTTCTCTGCAGTCTTTCTAGAGTCTCATGTTATGTGTGAGCTGCCATCTTACACTTGCTTATGTTTTGGTGCTATGCGGTGACAGACTGCCATGAATTGTGGGGAGGCAAGGACGAAGAAGGGAATGCTTGGGGAAACTAAAGTAAAGGTTGTGCCTTCTTGAGATGCTGCCTCAAGGTCATCCAGCTTTGAAGAAGGAGGAAGCTGTATACTTGTCTATGCTTGGTTATGAAAATATCTTGCCTGAACCTGATTGGTGATACCAATGACAGACAGTTAAGGGAGGAAAAAGTAGGCATTTTGGCACATGATTTTCCATTCTGGCTTTGCATTATTGCAATACACTTGTAAACTATAGCTTTCTCAACAAATGGACTCAAGGGTTGTTTCTATTTTGAGGTTTAAGTTGTGGCAGGTCTAACATTACGCTAGAAATGCTAAGTATTCTTACTTAACTCCGAACCTGAAATACTCACTTTTTTCTAGAAATTTCCAACTTCTAATACGTGCATCTGTGGGTCTATCCCATTGATTTTCCATGCCCAGTTGACAAAAATATATTTACTTATGGGAGACGAGATAGCAATCAGGGTGTTGAACAGGTTGTAGGTTGCTCATAAGATAGCTGGCATCCTCAGGTATGTTGAAATAAGCTTTTTCTCTGTGTGTGTATATTTTCCCTCTGTCAATCAATGTCTCCTTTTCAAGTTACATTGCACAATCATTTCCCATGGTGTTCCCAAAAAAAAGCCTTGGCACTTAAGTCACTGAACTACTTTGAATAGTAGTAGAACGATTGCATTAACTCTCTTACTTCCTCGTAGCATTCGGAGCGAGTAATCGCTCTCCATCAGAAAAACTACTCCATGTCTTATGGAGGATTGAGAACACTGTGACTTCCAATATTTTGGGGGCTGTTGGCTTCTTAGTGGAGGGAAACAGGAATTAAATTTAAGGTCTCTAATAACATTGGAGGCATTGTGGCTAGAGTGAGTTCTCTTGTCTGCCAATTGAATAGAATAGAATTCAGGAATAGAGTAGAAATAGAAATGAAATTCTTTATTGGACAAGTGTGATTGGACACACAAGGAATTTGTCTTGGTGCAAAGGCTCTCAGCGTACATAAAAGAAAAGATACATTCCTCAAGAGTCAAGAATCATCAGGTACAATACTTAATGGTAGTCATAGCAATCAAATCATACTAGGAAACAGTCCATATAAATCACTAGGATACAAGCAACAAAGTTACAGTCATACAGTCACAAGTGGGAGGGGATGGGTGATAAGAAGTGATGAGAAGATTAATAGTAATAGTAATGCAGACTTTGTAATAGATGAACAGTGTTGAGGGAATTATTTGTTTAGCAGAGTGATGGCGTTCGGGGAAAAAACTGTCCTTGTGTCTAGTTGTTCTGATGTTCAGGGCTCTATAGTGTCATTTTGAGGGAAGGAGTGGAAACAGTTTATGTCCAGGATGTGAGGGGTCTGTAAATATTTTCACAGCCCTCTTTTGGACTCGTGCAGCATACAGGTCCTCCATGGAAGGCAGATTGGTAGCAATTGTTTTTTCTGCAGTCCTAATTACTCTCTGGAGTCTGTGTCCATCCTGTTGGGTTGCAGAACCAAACCAGACAGTTATAGAGGTGCAGAAGATAGGCTCAATAATTCCTCTGTAGAACTGGATCAGCAGCTCCTTGGGCAGTTTGAGCTTTCTGAATCCCACCACTGATTACAATACCTGTATTCCTGGCATCTTGGGGGTTAAAATTAAAACACTCCCTCCCTAGTTAATGGTCAAGGTTCATTCGCCGAATTACGGTGTTCCCAAACTGTTGGGCAGGGGTCCAACACGACCCCCTTCCAATCCGAGTTCACCCGGAGAACCAGCAGTTGTAAACTTACGCCGTGGAAAGCACTTTGACCAAAAGACCCTGGCAGCTGTATGCACACGCACGTGATTGAACCATCGTCACTCCTGTGACAAAAAACCCCTAGCACTACTTGGGCAGCTTGTACAGGTCCAATGGCGAAGAAAGTCACATTACTTAGGGCTGATGATGTCACTGCGATCTAGTGATTGATAGCGGGGTGTGTGTTTGTGTGGAGGGACGGAGGCAACCTGTTTCGAAACTTTGTACCTGATTAGAGATCAGAGCACAGCTAAAATAAGGTTGACAAAGTCTCTTGTGGATTACTAGGCCATTACACAACGGGGAAGGAACCCTGCTGAATATGCTGAGCTGGTTTGAATTGCCTTTTGTCCAGTACTGCACAGACTGTATTGTAATCAGTGGTGGGATTCAAATTTGCTTTACTACCAGGTCTGTGGAGATGCCGGGTGTGGTGTGGCTTCATGGCTTGGTAGGCATTGCAGGGGAAGGATACTGCATAATTCCCTCCACACCCCACTAACCTGCTTTACAGCTCCGTTCTCCTGTGCAGGGCAACTAAAGGAGACCCAGGCAATCAGCTGGGACTCAATGGGAGGCAGAGAAGAGATGGGGTTGGTGGGGCCAGTCAGAGGTGGGTATTTTCCGGTTCTCCGAACTACTCAAAATTTCCGCTCCCGATTTTCCAGAACTGGTCAGAACTGGCTGAATACCACCTCTGATTTAAATATGAGACAGCTGTGTGCTGCAACGGCCAAAAAAGCCAACACAGTTCTAGGTTGCATAAACAGAGGGATAGAATCAAGATCATGTGGAGTGTTAACACCACTTTATAAGGCCTTGGTAAGGCCACACTTGGAATACGGCATTCAGTTTTGGTCACCACGATGTAAAAAAGATGTTGAGACTCTAGAAAGGGTGCAAAAAAGAGCAACAGATGATTAAGGAACTGGAGGCTAAAACATATGAAGAACGGTTGCTGGAATTGGGTAGGTCTAGTTTGATGAAAAGAAGGACTAGGGGTGACATAATAGCAGCCTTCCAATATCTCAGGGGCTGCCCCAAAGAAGAGGGAGTCAAGCTATTCTCCAAAGCACCTGAAGGCAAGACAAAAAGCAATGGATGGAAACTAAGCAAGGAGAGAAACAACTTAGAACTAAGGAGAAATTTCCTGACAGTTAGAACATTTAATCAGTGGAACAACTTGCCTCCAGAAGTTTGAATGCTCCAACACTGGAAGTTTTTAAAAAGATGTTGGATAACCATTTGTCTGAAGTGGTGTAGGGTTTCCTGCCTAAGCAGGGGGTTGGACTAGAAGACCTCCAAGGTCCCTTCCAACTCTGTTATTCTATTCTATTCTATTCTATTCTAAATTACATTATGTTCGCATGACTCCCACCTCTCAAGCCACTCCACTCTTACACAAAAAGGAAGGGATCAGAAACAAGGCAACATTAAAATCCTTGCTTTCCATAAAGAAGGACATTCTGTGTTAAAATCTCTCTCAGCATCTAATTTTTCTCGATCTCTGACCGAGCTGGACACTTTGGTTTAAACCAGATTGAACGAGACAGAGAATTCCTTCCTTGGAGCTGAAGCGATAAACCTGTTGAACAATGAGCCAAGCCCGTTTCCATAGCCTACAGAAATCTCTCTTTTCTTTTTTTTTAGTTGCCCAAATATTTCTAGCTTGGATGGCTTTTGAAATATGAAGTTGCATGTAGGACGTCCGTTAAGACGTGAGAATACAGCTGTGGTAGTCCTCAACTTAGGACCCCCACATTTCAGCTGCTAAGCG